GACCCATACTGTCCATAGCTAGAGGATTGACCAGACCCTGACCCATGACCATAGCTAGAGGACTGACCTGAGCCTGACCCATGATGACCATAGCTGGAGGACTGACCTGACCCTATACCATGTCCATAGCTAGAGGACTGGCCTGAGCCTGACCCATGTCGGCCAGAGCTGGAGGATCGATGTGAACTGGAGTAATGTCTTGATCCTCCACAACTCTCTGAATGACCAGTGGAGCCAGACTCATGTTGTCCAGAGCTAGAGGACTGACCTGAGCCTGACCCGTGTCCATAGCTAGAGGACTGACCTAAGCCAGATCCATGTTGTCCGTAGCTAGAGGCCTGACCTGAGCCTGACTCATGCTGGCTGTGGCTGGAGGACTGACCTGAGCCAGATCCATGTTGTCCAGAGTTGGAAGACTGACCTGAGCCTGACCCATGTTGGCCATAGCTAGAGGACTGATGTGAACTGGAGTAACGTCCTGATGCTCCACAACTCCCTGATTGACCACTAGAGCCAGATTCATGTTGTCCATAGTTGGAAGACTGACCTGAGCCTGACCCATGTTGGCCATAGCTAGATGAATGACCTGAGCTTGACTCATGTTGTCCATAGCTGGTAGACTGACCTGACCCTGACCCATGTTGTCTATGGCTGGAGGACTGATTTGAACTTGAACCTTGTCCATGTCCTCCCCACCTTTCTGACTGACCACTGGAGCTAGACCCATGTTGTCTCTGCCAGGATGATTGACCTGAGCCAGACCCAAAGTTAGAAGATTGACCAGAGCCTGTCTCATATCGTCCATGACTGGAAGACTGGCCTGAACCACATCTACATTGCCCATGGCTAGAAGACTGTCCTGAGCCTGACTGTCCATAGTTGGAGTACTGCTCTGAGTCAGACCCATGTTGTCCATGGCCTGAGTACTGGCCTGAGCTTGACCCATGTTGTCCATAGCTAGAGGAATGACCAGTGTCAGGGTGGTGTTGCTCATAGGTAGGTAGCTGACCTGACCCATACTCAGACTGTTCATAGCTAGAGGATTGATGTGATCTGGAGCTATGTCCTTGTCCTCTGTCCTTCCCTCTTTCAGACCTCTCTTCTGGTACCTCAAATCCCCCTGACTGGCTATTGCTGAATCCATGTCTTTCCCATCTACCTGAGTTACCAGTGCCAGATTCATATTCTTCTCCTCCAGATATTCTGGAGGGGCTAATACTTAACTTATGTCTCCTTCCCCCCTGCTTGTTTGCTTTGAACCCATATTTCTCTTGGCTACTACTCTCTGAGTGGCTTGATCTTGATCTATGATAGCTCCTCCCTGAGCCTTCCCCATGCCCTGAATTATATGAGGAATCATTCCTTTCCCACCCAGTAGAGCTAGACCCATGCCTATGGCCCCTGTTCCTATGTGATTGCCCAGATTTGGATGACCCAAATCCCTCTCTTGAACTCCAGCTTGAATGACTGAAGTCTGACTCTTGGCCTGTTGACTCTTCCTGTTCCTCTGTTTCACTTTGTGCCTCCTGGAGATGGTGACCTTGGTGTTTCTGCCTTGACCCTGAAGCATGGCAGTATTCTCTGACGACGGATTTGTTGCAGGCCATGGTCAACTTGAAAACCATCAGTAGATACTCAGTAAAGTCCACTCTTCTGTCATGGTCCCGGTCCAGGATTTGCATGAAGACATCCACAGTATCAGGATTGTTGGGATTCTATGTAGGAACAAGGTACAAGGGATAGTTCGTGAGTCTGGTGTCCATTCCCCACTGATAAAGTTAAGGAAGATCGTCAAAATGTGTGTACTGGGAGGACCCCAGTGGAGAGAACTCCACTTGGGCTAATAATCTGACAAAGCTCACAGCTATTAGGTGAAAAAGATTGAGGGAATGAGAGTGTAGGTGTAAAGGGAGTGAAAGGAGATGAAAGGCAGCTGGTGTACTTGGGGTATGAAACGAGTCAAATATAAATAATGTGTCTAATGTAAATCAAGTATTTTGGGATCAGCTATCATTAGATGTGATAGCACTTAGCGCAATGCCTAGCACATAGTAAATGTTTACTGACTGACTAGGTGTAATTGACTTCCTGCTATTCACCCATCTTAATTTCTCCAGTTTGATTTTGGAGGTACTTTGTCTCTTTTGGGGTTAGAGTGCCTAAAATGGTATCGTTAAAGGTTTATTGTTTTCTTCAGGGGTTGTAATTTTTCCTGGGAAGATGAACAGACCTAATCGAGAATACATTCATATGAACTGGTTTTCAGATTGTCTTTCTCTAGACAGAAAGAACTTGGAAAAAGAGGAAAGCCCTGTGCCCCAGGAGCTGGGGTGGGTTCAGTGATGGGGATAGGTATCCCTGTGTCTAACAAGGGCAGAGAAAAATTAGAGGAAGACAACTGAAGGCAAATTTCATCTACTTATCCCGTTTGTTCAGGCACATAAGGAATCCTAGTGAATTAATTAATTTTTTTCAATTCAGTTTAACTTAACTTTCATTTTTTGACTGCCTACTTCATACAAGTATCGTCCAGTGGCTACAATACTGGAGTCATGAAGATTCGTACTCAAATCCTGTCTCTGATACTAGCTTTGTGACCATGAGCAACATGTTTATAATCATTGCTAGGGTTATAACAATAACATTATGATATATAAATACATATAACATATAAATAACATAAAACATAGCATTTACATATGTGCACTTACATATAAATGTCATAAAACATCATTTTACAACATAAAATGTACAAACACAATTGTTTAAAATAATTTCTAGGATTTATATAGCACTTTAAGGTTTACGCAGCATTTTACAAATATTAATTTATTTTGTTCTCACAGCAACTCTAGGAGGCAGGTGGTGTTATTATCCCCATTTTACAGATGAGGAAACTGAAGCTGGGGGAGATTAAGTGACTTGCCCAGGTCACACAGCTAGTGAATGTCTGAGGCTCGATCTGAACTCAGCTTTTCCTGACTCCAAGTCCAGTGTTCTATTCGTGGTGCTGTCTAGCTACCTAGCTTTTCTGAACCTCAGTCCACCTTACACTCATGAGTTTGATTTTTTGAACTTACGTATATGAAAGTAGGTGCTTAATAAATGCTTGTTTTCTTGACCTGAATCTCATCTTATTAGATTCTGCTCAGTGCTGCAGCCTGCCAAGACCTTACTGAGTCTTGACACCATCATCCAGTGTATTATCTTTCCACTTAGAAAAAAAACTCAAGGCTGAATTGTCAAGAATTAAAGGAAACTGACCAGTGGTTAATAAAATATCCATAAACTTAAAGGTACTAACACCACAGAGAAAGGCACGATTATCATTCAGCCCTGTCCTGTGGCCACCTAGTTCTACATCTATAAACTAGGCATATGACAGCCTTGTCATGTGAGTGTTGTGAAGTTCAAAGGAAGTGATGCAGGGATATTATTATGCAAACTTGAAAGCATCACATACATGTTAGATATGGTCATTACTATGTCAAATCCCAGAACGTTTTCTGCTAGACTCCAAAGTGGGACACTGAGAATGTAAATCATTTTTGCCTGGTATTTACTAGGAAGAAATCTTTGGGCAAGACTAGCCTGGATATAAAACATGTGACTTCATGGGACCCCTGGATTTGACAGACAGCTCTTACTTTCAGAAGTGAACCCATCTCTTTTTCCAAAAGTTCCTTGAGTTCCTTTTTGCACATTGTGTCACATTCCTCATCCTGGCCACAATAATTGTAGAAGACGTCGATTACGGTGACAATGCTTCTTAAGAGCTGAGACATCTCGTAAGGTGAGGTGGACCTGAAGCAGGGAAAGAGACATTATTTTTTATTTATCATTAATCATTATTTTTATTTATCATTATTTTATAATGATATTTTTCTTCCTATATATCCTCAGTAATCATTATCAAGAAAAATAATCATGCATATATTTTATGGCTCTGATCTCTTTGACCCTTGAAGCCCTTTAATGGGGAAGGATGGGGTGGGGCCAATTCACCCCTTTTGCTATAATGAAACACTAGTTGAGAAGTTAAGCTACTTATCTCAGTTAGCCAGTAGAAACTAATCAGAAAGCCTTGATTCTCACTCCGGTAATAACGCAGAATAGGGATTTCAACTTTCACATGCTCTGCCTGGAGAAGGATTAAATGCCTTCCTGTGTCCTGAGCTCCCCCGTATCTTTAGTCTGCATTCACATATTGCAGTCTCTCATTCAATGCCTCAGTTCATCTCTATAGCCCAGGTTTAGCATTTAGTGCTTATTTTATTTGGATTTATATCGCATATTTCTAGCTAGAGGTAGCTAGGTGGTGCTGTGGTTAGTGTTAGGCCTGCCTGGAGGGAGGAAGGCTTGAGTTCAAATCCAACCTCATATACTTACTAGCCGTGTGACTCTAGGCAAGTCATGTAATCTCTGCCTGTCTCAGTTTCTTTTAGCTATAAAATGGTGGTGATAATAGCACCTACCTCACAGTTGTCCTACTCTCTTGTGAGGATCTAATGAGATATATTTGAAGGCTTCAGCTGCCTTTTGTCTCCTTTTGTTTCCCTAGTGCTTAGTATAGTGCCTGGCACATAGAAAATGATTAATCAATGTTTATTGATTGATTAATATTTGTAAAACTTTTAGCACATAATAAGCGTTTAATCTTTCCTTCCTCTTTTCCTCCTCCCTCCCTCCTTTCCTCCTTCCCTTCCTCCCTCCTTTCCTTCCTTCCTTCCTTCCTTCCTTCCTTCCTTCCTTCCTTCCTTC